AGCGTTGAATCTTGACAAATGCTTAACGTTTCATCTTGGAAATGCTTCTACAATCTCCTATCACAGCAAAGGCACTACATTGAAAGGATGTGATGCTATTAGAGATCTGGGCGTCCTGATTAATACAAACCTTAGCTTCACTAAGCACGTCGATATGACAATCAAGAAAGCGTATTCTTCGCTTTTCATGCTTTTTTGAAATATTAGTACCAACTCCCCAAGGATACTGATATCGCTCTATAAAGCGTTTGTTCTCCCTCACCTGGAATACTGTTCTCAGATCTGGTCTCCCTTTCGTGAAAAATACATGCGTAGAGTAGAAAAGGTTCAACAACTTTTTACGAGGTTGTTGTACAGACGTGTATCACCCAGAATGGCCCCACCTGAATACCACGGCCGTCTTTAGAAGATTCATATGGAGTCTTTAACACATCGGCGGGTATTTTCGGACCTCGTATTCTGCTTTCGAGTTCTAAGGAGAGAGAACAAACTAAAAGCAAGCAAGTACTGGATTTTTATTCCTACCAGTGAAAGGTCTGGTCCTTTTAACCTGCAATATCCAAGAATCCGACGCAGAAAATAGCTACTGATACTCAATAATGTGTTTTGTAGGGGAGCTAGGTGGCTTTCGCGTCTCCCTGTTGATACCACTAGTGCAGATAGTAGCCATATTTTCAGGAGTAAACTAAGAAGACTTGACTTGTCAAGTATCGCTAAAAATGATTAGCGTTGCCTGACGGTCATAGCCTTCTTGTATCAAAGATGCTGGACTTGTATTTATTTGCTTGGGATGTGCTACACGACTGTGTTTATGGATGGATCTCCGATATAGGCTTTGTTTTCTACCACATTTTCTTCCAATTTTCCTCTTTAAGATCTGCCATTTCAGGTGCTCTTTGTATTATGATGGTTTGCTTTTCAATTATGGCTATAAATTATGGCTTTGACGTCTTTCGTGTGTCTCCTCACGTTACGTCATACTTGTAATTTCGGTCTACTCGTTTTCTTCTAGTTACTAACCAGTCTTTCATCATCATCTTGGTCCGAGTCTTTTTCGCTCAGCTATCCAGTATTCAATCGTACAGCTTGCTGGTTTAACCGAGTGATCTGAATGTGAATCTTTTCACCTTTGGGGTCATTGGGCCTCCCCAGCATTCCGGCTAGGCGGGGTTATGGTTATTATACCTGTGCCAGTAGACCCGCCTGATAAGCTGTCGGTTTGCTTTTAAGATTTAATACAAAGATCGTTCCGCTGGCAACGAGGGGGCATGGGTCCATCTCCTTGGAGTTATAACTTTTTAAGTTATGAGTACCAATGCCTATCAATGCTTACATCTTTATACATGTCTAGCTATTAGCCTATCAACATAATCAATGCAAGCCTTAGTCTGACTAGGATTAGTCTCGGATTAACGTGATGATGTCTGCATTCGTTTATTGCTTATTCCGCTGTTTTACTGACTTCTCGATGTGTGTTTTGTGTTTTTTTTTCTTTTGTATTGGAACCCCTTGAGCGTCCAAATGAAAATGAAAAAATGAAAATGATTCCATCGCTATCCAAGTCGTGGATCTTCGCTTTCTTGCATAGTTCGTTCACTCGACCCGTATACATGAGGTAATTCTCGGAATTCACCTTTCTTGCTTCAAATACTGGTACCGCATAGCGAATTTCGAAATCTTCAAGCCGGAACAATTGCTTCAAGGTTTCGACTGTTTCTTCGAACTTGATGGCGGTTACCTCCTTTGGTAGCACGTGCCTCTAATACTTTTCGAAGCTGTCTTTGTCCAGCTTTTTGCAAAGCAGCCTTGCCGTGGCGCTCTCTGTGAGCTGCTTCGCATACTTCTTCGGTGATAGCCGCACATCTTGATCGCTACTATTGCGTCCTTCAGCTTCGGACATTCTTCGGGTTTTCGATATCTTCGGCGGTGGAGGAGAAAAGAAGAGAGAAGTAATTATTAGGAATAAAATGAGTAATTAAAACATAGAGGCTAATTGAGTGAACGACTCGAACTGACTAAGGCAAAGAGCGAGCGCCTTTTATAGCGCTCAATTCCCGCGCACTTTGAGGTTGCGATCATACGCGAGCCAGATTACTATGAGACACAACTGATCGTTTACAAACATAACATTTATAAAGTTATACATGCTAAACAGTTGAGGTTAGTGGGCATTACATTTGAAAACATTTGGTAAGTGGCAAATCGCGTCCTACTATGGCCTGAAGTATGTGCGGGCCTATCACGACCAGAGCTAGTATCTCTCGATTTGGACCCTTTTAGCCCTGGTTTAGCCTCTACCATGGTTGATAGGATGGTAGCACCGGCTGTTTAAGTACCTGCGCCTTTGTAACTTGAGTGAATTGTGATAACAAAACAAAATCAAAGGCTACTGCATGACGAAGGCGCAGTATCAGCATTAGTTAAGCGGGCGCAAACGCAGCGCGCTGCCTTCACTGTTTCAAACCCTGTGCCTCATGCGCTCTGCGGCTAATAAGGCCGCGTTCGCGCCCAAAGAAAGTGCGATTTGTCATGCAATAACCTATATTATGTCTATCTAGTGAACAAAGCTTTATTACAAGGTGATATAACTGTAAAATTCATCAACCCAAATCTTCCACCACACTGCGATGTCCTCTACACAAATTACATCAGCATTCGCGAAAAACCTCGGAATTATAGAGTAGAGGTAATTGTGCAACATGAGTTTACAAGCAAAAGTGCGTATTAGTGTGAACCTTTGCGGAGTTTGAACAGGAGCAACAAAAGGAAGAAGAACTGGCATGTCAACAGGCTTCCGGTATATGAATCTGGACCATCAGCTTAATTCGGCAGCTGTTTTTTGCTGACTGGGTGTCACTAGCAGTGCAAACTATCTCATCAAAAAAGCAATAAAAAAATCCACATCTACTCTTTTACCGTCGCAACCAGTGGAGGAGTGCGATACGAGCTGACCACGGTGGCAGAAAGATGCATTATCGAGTTTCCTAGGAAAAAACGAAGACGAAGCGAGCTTGATACTCAGGCTCCCGCCGGAGTGCCGAAGTTATGCCAGCGCTATGCCAGCATTTCGATCGATACAAGTGTATTTCGTTGGGGACATCTACCCGCTGAGCTAGCCCCGCCCCAACGAAATACACGTGTATCGATCGAAATGCTGGCGTAGCGCTGGCATAACTTCGGCACTCTGGCGGGAGCCTCAGCAATTGGCAATACGGAATTTATTCGAATACAAACTCGAATAAAACATTTGAATAATGTCTTTTCGAAACCTCGTTTTTGACTACGTGAGTTTTCGAATTTTATCCGAAACCTCGTTTTTTCATTATTTGCGTTCGAATTTGTTCGAAACCCCGTTTTTTGATTATTCGAGTCTATTTGGGTCTTATTTGAAAACGGAATAATCCCAAATATCGAATTTTGAATGCGAATATATTCGAATATTTTATTCAAATGCTCAATTTTTGATAGATTTCAACCAAAGTACAACTGTCATTGTGGATTCTCATCTAGAGTGAGGTTCACTGCCTGAAAAGGCATACAGCTAACCCTAACTGTAATGGAAAAAAAATTTTACAGTCAGTTGAAATTCTAAGTATTCAATTCTCACCTCACAAGCCCATAGCACGTTTCAAAGTCTCGTTAATGAATGTTTCTATCGCTATAATCTCCGTTATCGTCACAGCGTTTTTTGTTTATAACAAGGAAGCAAAAGTGACTATGAGGCCAACAATATCAAAAAAGACGTTTTCAGCATTGAAGTAGGTTCTTCTACCAGGGGCGTGCATTGGACTCATAACTATTGTCACACTAATGAGGCGAGAAAATGGTGTGAGCTCCGCCCGAGGCCTTATCACGACCGAAATGCAATATGACTGGTACGCAATAGACTCGTAATTGTTGTCTGTTTGAAGAATCACGAAGCGATGAAATCTCGTGAACTTTGTCCGAGGCCAGAAGGCAGTTCATTATCATTTACATGCGCTCTAAATACATGCATATTGTCGACTTCAAGAACCAAATAGCCTATGATAGTTTCTCTTGAAAATTCCCAAATTCTTTAGAAAATTCGCGAGTAGTTTCGGATGAAGATAATATCAGTGATAATGTTGGTCTGAAATGTTTGAGCTTTGAACATGAACTTGAACTCCTTTCACGCTAATAAGGTGAAAGGAGTTATCTGATGACATTCAACTAGTTGATATTCGACTTTTTGAGTATTCTTATGTCAGTAATGTATAGGCGATTCATCGCACGCAAGGACAGGCGTCACTGCGGACGCTCTCGTCTCGCTGTTTTGGCGCTCTTTCAACCCTCTCGCCTCTGCTGTCTCTCCCATGCTCGAATTATTTTGATGGGACGTAATGGCTTCCAGTCCATCAGCGCGTGCGCTGAATCACCCAGATGCATAATTGTTTTCTGTATAAGCACCACCACAGTCACAAATTGGCTTGTAAATTCACTTTGAGCATATAATTGTCCACAATTGTCCGCAATTTGTCCACACTTTTGATGCTAATGTTAAGCAAAGCGTTGTGGAGTAAGACTTACAGCGTTTTTCGTAGTGAAGTAGTAAGAACGGATGGATTGTGTAGGGAAGTACTGGCAAGTATATGCGTCTTTCTTTAACGATTTACAAAATTTTCTGACGCAAGGAGGGGCTTCACAACTTACTTCCGTCTAATAGGGATTTGCTCTTTTCCGAGGTTTAGGCCATTTTGCTTCAATCTTACGAAGACCGCCAAATCGGGAAGTTTGCGAGAAGTTTTCGAGTGATTTCGTAAGTGAAGTTCCGAATCTATGGGACTGCTTATTTTTGAGTTCATATGGAATTTTGCGTTTCATCAAATACAAATTTGTGTCTCCCTGTATTTTGTTGTTCGCGGAGAAGCGCTCATGTTTTGAAGGAGCCCTAACAAATCTTCTTTTAGGTACAGCAGCACCAATAATCAGTGATGATGGTCCGCTTCTAGTTCACCCTGAAGTCGTCGCACTCGCCCAAGATGGGTTGGCCGCATCAGAATGTGGATGGGCAAGACAGTGTAAAGAAAGTAGTGTCATTGCGGGTTAAGTGCTCTAGCGTTGCGCTTGAGCTAATCGGTAAGGGAGACTCGCCACCGAGTGTGTAGGCTGCTGCATGACGAAGGAATTATATCTTTGGGCCTAGTCATGCAGTAGCCTTTAGCTTTTTTCTGAAATCGTATCGATCATTTGTAGATGCTCACTATGCTAAAATCTGGGAATTGGTACAAATATACTCGAATTTGCCCGCACCACAAAATTCGGATTTGATTTGGATTCATCTTATTCATTCCGTTTCCACAAATCATCTGTGTCAATATTCGTGAACATTTGCTTAAGATATCTCGTTCTTACGGCTTTTTTCAACCTAAGTATCTTGTAGTCATTATTAGTTAGATATGTTACATACCAGTAATTGTCGTGTTTGTTTTAAGTGCTACAATCCGATCTCACATCACAAACATGCGTAGTTTTTGCTTTTTTGATTTGTTTTAGGAATACTCGTTGTGAAAGGTGAATGCATCGCGACAAATCCTGCAAAGATCAGTATTGTAAACGTATCCGGACTCTTGCAAAACCACATTGAAAATATTGTGAAAGATCTGTGGTTAGAGATATGATCTTGTGAAAGATTATTTTAGTAATTATTTCTCGATAGTTATTTCAATAGAATTCTATGTTTTTTGGTAAAGTATTCGCAACACAGGCACAAGGACCAATTTTTGGGTTAAAGGGGTACTCGTAAAAAAGCCCTCTTTACGAATTTCGTAACAGACACACATTACGGGGATAAACACGCAACCACTTAGCCCAATATTATAAGTTACCACTGCGTCATCTCTGCTTCGCAGAGGCTTCAGGAAAGCTTACGTAGTGATACTGCCGTTCTTCATTTGAGTGATCACTAACTTAGGCGATGCTGAATCAAGAACCTCCCTATTACACGATTCCCTTTTCTGTTTTTTTTTTTGAATATTCGAACATCGAATATATTCGAAAATTGGAAATTTCCAATATTTGACTATCATTCGACTTTCAGATATCATTCGATTTTCAAATATTAGGTTGTCCCGAAAGTTTTGTCGGTTTCTTTCATCGCTCACTAAAACCCACAGAACGCTAGTCCATGGACAATCTAGGTATCATTTAGTTCAGATTTCAATCCTCTTTCTTACATCTATATTTGCTCTCTGATCTACCCTGTCTTTGCCATGTTACCGCCATGGCTTTATAGCCAATTCAGCAGTAACGCCAAATCCTTTCTGAATTCAAAAAATTTTTTTCCTGTTCTTTTTGAAGAGCGGTAGTAACGGTATGTAGAGCAAATCTTTGGCTACATTGTGCTTATTTTAGATCACAGGGGCCACGTTTATCAAGTCAGCTATAATTATTTATTTTAAAAAAATCGCGGCTCTTTGATCACGTCTACCACGTAAAGTTACCGAAAATTCCAAAAAGCTGATTTTTTAAAGCAAATCAAACTTGATTATGTTGCATAATTATTGTTTATCAGCAGTCAAGTTTCAATTCGCAGAAATTTTGAAAGCTCTCTTGTTTTGCTGCAATTGCGTATTTCATGACTTTGCCAAAAATCGAGACCTCCCGAAGAAATAATTTTTTGAAGCTAAAAACAGCAGGTTAGGAGAATTTAAAAATGTCACCTTGTAGTCCGAGAATTGTTCTATTTGATCCATACTTAACCACCTCCGGAACTTTGGAATGAAAATTCTAAAAATTAGCCTAACTTTGAGCAAATAAAAATGACAGGTGAAGAATTGTAGCAATTATCAAAAAAAGCATACAGAACTGTGGCTTGGAAATGTAACCTTAAGAAAGAGAAGGAAAAGCTGCATCGAACGCATGTTGATACTCGTTTCAGTTCTTTATTGTGCTTAGTTTAGCGGTTTGAAAAAAAACCACAAAACTTTCGGGACAACCTAATACTATTCGAAAAATTGAACGTTTATTTGTTATGCTAACATGGCCAAGCACATAGTTTACAAGTAATGTGGGTCTTTGTTGTACTGTTACTCTGCAATGCATGAAGTACTTTTTATTTTTTGCAACGATCGAGTTACGGTGCTGAGAATTGGCGGAGGAGCTAAGTGAGCGTGATGATTACTAGCACAGCGGGAATAGAGATTGGCGTGTAAAAATGGGAACGAAAAAAGTTGTACAGGAATAGGAATGGCCGAATTTATCATGATGTTTTAACAGAGCCGGGCGGAGCCGGGTAAATCAGCTAGTTCTTAACAAGTAAAGAAGTTATAGGACAGGAATGCTGCGAGCTGCAGGTCAACCGCGCGCTGCGGCGTACTGTAAAGCTGGAAATGATTCAGAGAAGCACGCGCACCGTGGTGTGAGTGCCCGAGTGGGGGTGGTCGTCCTTGAAAAACCTTTAAAGGCAGTGTCCAGGCTAAACCTAACCCCCTCCGATTAGGTCGGTCTTGAATGTAGGCCCCAGAAAAAGAGCACCTGCGTTGGTCCGGTCTTCTAACGTCGTCTCGACGTTAGAAGGGGGCCTAAGGGGCCTGAAAGTCCCTGGCTGGGCGGAGTCTAATATCAGACTTCGCCCACCAGGGACTGCTCACTACACTTTGGAATATTCGAAATTTTTTTCGAATAATCGAATGATCGAATATATTCGAAAATCAAAAATATCGAATAAACGAATTTCGAATATTTTCGAAAATAAAAACTGTCGAATATTTGATTATCGAATATTTTTCATAATCAGAAATGTCGAATAATCAAATATCGAATAATTTCCGAATGAAAAAATTTCGAATATTCGAATATATTTAAAAAAATCTCGAATAAACGAATACTTTGTATAAACTATGTCGAATATTCAAACAAATCTAGTCGAATAGTACAAAAAAGACTCCCAGTAATATACAGCTCAAAGAATAAGCAAGCTGATATATTCAAAATGTTACGCATATTACTGACTGTTGACAGATCCGGTTCTGCTCGGTCTACTTCCTCATAAGACTATAGAAGTCAACAATCTAATCCACTGTGAATACCGGTCTTCTGCCTCCACTTTTAAGTGCGCAAATCAGTAAAGACAAGGGGCTCATTCACACCTACTTTCAACACCTATTTTCGAAGAGCGCGATTGTTGGTGTAGTTAGTATTCTTATCTTTTTCCAACACCCAGTTTCTCAGCAGCATGCCCACTCAAACTTGTGCACGAATTAGCTTCGAATTCGAGTCCAAACAATGTTGTCTCTTTTCTGGACGTTACATACTTGGACCTTCTTTCAAACTCGAAAAGGAGTTCTCTAAGAGTGAAAGACAGACAGGTTCAAGCGCTCAAAACGTAATGAAAAACTCGCGTACTTTTGGATGCCCTTACTGAGTGTTCCTTCACGAAAATTCACTCCAATAGATTTCATGTAAAGAACTTCACAAATTTTACTCACTGGCAATTTGGGCAAACAAAATTAAACAACAAAGAAACAATTATTGCGTGTCAAAAACTATCGGTCCTCTTCCTCCGGTTCATCCAAGTCATCAGAGTATGATTCCTCCGATGTACTATGAGCTGCATTCGACTTGTAGTTGCATCCATAACGAAGGACTTCCTTTTGTGTCCAAGCTTTGCATGACCTAAATAGTTCAATTTTTACAAGTTCAACACATTTTATAAGTTGAAGAAACTATCTCACCTACTAGTTTCCTTATTCGAATTAGCTTGATCATCAAAAAAAGCCTTGCGTGTTTTGCTGTGAGTCGCCCTCTCCTTTTATTGCCATATATAATGCCAACAGTGCTAGAACTCATTATCATTGAACGTACATAAACCATCAAAACCTAAAGTACCTAAACAGCCTTTCGCTGTCTAGGGATGTACAAGGCGCGACGAAGTATGCAGCTGCTGATGATGCCAATAGGGGGACTGAGTTTTGTGAGAGCGCCACCACTGAACTGGGTCTGCATCAGGACTTGGTCGTGCGTCTCCTCGGTTCAGATGTATAGTGTACTGCTGCAACTCCATCTAAACTTCAAGTATTAGAGTGATATTGAGCAGTATCTCAGTACCTGAAGGTCTTCCTGTTGCATCTGTGAGCTTCTTGAGGGGGTGCTGGTAGTACTTTGTGTTGTGATCAAAGACCACATATCCGATCCTTGGGGGGTATTTTTCATAAAGTTGCAAGGTAGTGTTTGCAACTCACTTTTACACGCCAAGAAGTGGTCAGCAGTTTCTCGCCATTCATCCCTGTTCAATACGGTATCCAAAAACGCAAATCTAGGTCGCACAACGCGGCAAAACGCAGTGGCTGACTAATGAAAAATTTTGCGAAGTACTCCTTTGTGCTACCCAACAATTTCTCGCCAAACTGCAGTCCTTCCCTTCGAGCAGCTGCTAGATTCCTGCTATGGTTGTTACCCGATGGAACACGAGAAAATAATGACCCACCCTTCAGTCTTCGCGATCACGAGTTTTCCTACTGAAATGAACATTGAACAGCAAGACGTTTGATAGCACACCTACATTGCAGAAATTAGATTGATCTCAAAAAAAAACGCTTTGTTGCTACCTGGTTAGTCATAGCCTGAAACGGCTGTAAGAATACTCTCATTGCCTTTAGTATCCGTATTTCCCCATTCTCAAACGGCAGCATGTCACAAGTTGACAGCAATCTTTCAACCGCCGGCATCTTCAAAAAAATCAACTGGCTGGAGGAAGCAATGCTACCAACATTCACTGACTGCGGCTAGGAAGTCACATAGCATGAAGTATGTACTGGACCATCTAGTCGGAGCATCATTCATTGGCACAACATTCGGGAGGTTTTCTTCGTTCAGAAACCTAAGGAGAAATGCTCTGAAGACAACGAGAAATATTCAGAGTAACTACCGTCTAAACATTTTCTTCAACTTTCCGCTCTTATTTAGCTTGGACACCACGTGCTTCACTTTCTTCATAAATTAATGACGTGAGCACCAGTGGATGCTGAATCATGGGAGGTTAAAGATGAGAAAGGGAAGCAGGGCGCCACTTACTATTGTATGCCTAGGTCGGATGCTGTTTTCACCATAACCGATGCTCCATCAGCAATCATGAATGACACTCGCTCTTTGGCAGTTCCGAGTCTGGACAAGCTCTCCAATATTTTCGATTCTACCAACTCGCTCGTGTGGCTGAACATAGCAAGTAATCGCGAATCCTAAACCGCCCAAAGATATTATACCTATCCTCCTTAAGCGGAGCACAGTCCAACACCACGTTGATTCTTTCCGAAAAGTCCCCTCCCAGGGCATGACCAGTAATCGCAAGCAATGAACATGATGCATTTTTTGACGACCACTCATCGACCGTGATTGCAATCTGTGCATCCGCAGAAAACACTCTTCTGTTGTCGTCATCAATGTCATCAACTTCTTTTTGCATCAGCTTTAACAATAGCGTGTACGACTCTCGATAAATCTCGGCATGGTTTATAAGTTGAGATTGATGTCTTGTAGCCAACGCCGAGATTGTTACAAACTTTATTGGCCAAGTTTCGGCTTCTCGCCTTCGTCAGGGCCTGAATGGGGTATCGATTCGTAACCCAGACGGGCAAATGTCTTTACGGCATTACGATAAAGGTCTAAGCCTTAATTTTGGTAGATCAGCATAGTTGGCTCAGATAAGGAGATAGTTCTCTCGTGATTGCGAGTTCTTCTTTACGGTTAATTTGTGGGTTCCTAGCATGAATCCGCAATGCTTCTAGAAACTTGCGAGCAGCCGTCTCAGGTTCACGTGCTAATATCTTTACGGTCACTTCAAAACTCGATCGTTCATGCCTTAGTACTCTGTGTGTTCCTAACGGAGTAGAAGTTCGCTGTTTATCCCTGCCATCTAGGTGTTCTTTTATACGAATACATAGGGGACGTGCGGTTTCACCTACATACTCGTCTCCGCAGACGGTACAGGAAATGGAGTAGACCACCCCAGTTGACATGCAATCTCCGCTTTTACCTCCTGGACATATGATACAATTGTCCGTAGTACAGCTGCTATCATACATGCGATTTCTTACTAAAATGCGCTTCAGGTTGTTCGGTGGCACTTCTACTATCGACACCAAATCAACTAATCCTACTTTCTTAAGGCTTCTGCGCATTGCTGTACTTATCTCGGTGGAGATGAACGGGACGTAAAAAGGGATCTTTTCGTTGATTCGGTCTCGCAAACTCTTTCCGTGCTTCATTGTACCTGTGAAGTTCCCGTACCCATTCGAGGAAGCTATTTGACGTGCAAGATCGAGTGATTCTTTTCTTTCTTTCTCTCCACTACATACCTGCGAAGCTGTTCGGAACATATTTTTAATAACAGCTCTTTTTATCCAAGGTGGGTGAGCGGATTGAAAGTGAATCAGTATATTCTTATTGCTCGGTTTACGGTACCACTTCGTCACGTGCATACCCGTGGTGATGTTCACTTGCACGTTTAGAAATGGTAACCAATCGTTTTTCGGCTTCTCTCTCGTCAGTTTTATATTCTCTGATTGCTTATTGAGTAATTCAAAGCATTCATCAAGCTCTGCTTGTGTCGCGCAAATCACAAAGCAATCATCAATATATCTACAGTAGAGTAAGGGATAGTGTTCCAAAACAGGCGCTTCTATTTTGGCCATGAATGCTATCGCGAGTGCCGGTGCTAAGCGTTGTCCCATTGCTAGTCCTCGTATTTGCATAAGGTAGCTCCCAGACCATCGAAAAGTATTACATTCTAAACACGCTTTCAATAGAGCCATGATCTGTGATATGGATAATCCGTGAAGATTCAGGGATTTTTCATGGCATATTAGCATTTCGCATATAGCTTGCATCGCGGATTCGTTGCTCACATTTGTGTAGAGAGCATTCACGTCAAAAGATTCCACGATGCATTTACTATTGATACGTGTTTCGCGTAGTCGATCCAAAAACATCTGCGTATTGGCTAGGTGCGATGGGATGAATCTGAGTAGTTGAACGAGTATGGTATTGATGAACCACCCTGTTCTATCCGTAGGCCCCCCTACCACCGCTTATTATGGGTCGTACCTTGAATGTGGAGGGATCGTTCGAGGCCAATTCCGTATCAGATTGGAGCTTATGTGTTTTGATTAGCAAATATAGCACAGGACAGGTAGGCAGTTCAATTTTTAAACGAGCAATGATATCGCGCGGTAAGTTGGCAGTTTTCGCTATGGATACCCATTCTCTGTTGAGTTTTCGATATTGTTTTTGAAACATCTTAACAGTTGTAGGCTGATATAGCGATGTGTCTTGGAGGTGTCTTTCTGTAATCGCAGCATCTAGTTGTTGTGGGATTACCACGAACTCGCCTCCCTTATCGCTGATTGAAAGTCGTATTTGCTTCGATCTAATTAACTGCTGAATTTGTTGTATGCCCTGTTTCTGAGCTAAAGTGAGGTTAGAAAGCATTTTTCGTTGCCGTACCCGTGCTAACATTTTGGACACTTCGTCTGTGAAAAGACGGAAGGGTATATCGGTTTTGGGATTGGCATTTTGTTGTTTGTAAAATGCACTTGGGAATGGTATTAATAGACGCGCACTTGCTACTGCTTGGTTCACGGCTTGACTTTCTAAGGCTGCTCTTTTACGTAAGTTGTTTTGAAGCTCGTTTAGGCTGCAAGTAATCTTTCGCAGTGTACTAGTCGTCCACCTTGGATAAAAAGAGCTGTTATTAAAAATATGTTCCGAACAGCTTCGCAGGTATGTAGTGGAGAGAAAGAAAGAAAAGAATCACTCGACCTTGCACGTCAAATAGCTTCCTCGAATGGGTATACAGGAACTTCACAGGTACAACGAAGCACGGAAAGAGTTTGCGAGACCGACCCAACGAAAAGATCCCTTTTTACGTCCCGTTCATCTCCACCGAGATAAGTACAGCAATGCGCAGAAGCCTTAAGAAAGTAGGACTAGTTGATTTGGTGTCGATAGTAGAAGTGCCACCGAACAACCTGAAGCGCATTTTAGTAAGAAATCGCATGTATGATAGCAGCTGTACTACGGACAATTGTATCATATGTCCAGGAGGTAAAAGCGGAGATTGCATGTCAACTGGGGTGGTCTACTCCATTTCCTGTACCGTCTGCGGAGACGAGTATGTAGGTGAAACGCACGTCCCCTATGTATTCGTATAAAAGAACACCTAGATGGCAGGGATAAACAGAGAACTTCTACTCCGTTAGGAACACACAGAGTACTAAGGCATGAACGATCGAGTTTTGAAGTGACCGTAAAGATATTAGCACGTGAACCTAAGACGGCTGCTCGCAAGTTTCTAGAAGCATTGTGGATTCATGCTAGGAACCCACAAATTAACCGTAAAGAAGAATGCCTTGCAATCACGAGAGAACTATCTCCTTATCTGAGCCAACTATGCTGACCTACCATTTAGTACTTCCATATACGGTCAGCCCAGCGGTCGTTCTACCAAGGGATTGTTTGTGTGGTGAGTAAGTGTTGCAAAGCTAGTGGCCAAAATTAAGGCTTAGACCTTTATCGTAATGCCGTAAAGACATTTGCCCGTCTGGGTTACGAATCGATACCCCATTCAGGCCCTGACGAAGGCGAGAAGCCGAAACTTGGCCAATAAAGTTTGTAACAATCTCGGCGTTGGCTACAAGACATCAATCTCAGCTTTAACAATGTTTTTGTGCTTGGCGTGGCATAGGACGGGTGAAGTGATCGCAAAAGCTCCGCGAAGGATGGCAACTGAGTAACGTGTAGCGGAAGAGATGCTCTTGCAAGAAAAACTATCAGCTTTCGATCGATATCCTCTTTTGCAGCTTTGCCAGTTTTCCTTTTGAACACGTCCTCAATTTTAGGTTGTTTCTCGCGTTCGTTTTTGTTCAGACTTGCTCGTCGCTCAAAATTCTCCACTTCCGCCTTGTGTTTGCTTCTAAGGGCCGCATGCACTAACATCCCTGCGGCGAGGGGAGCGGCGTCCCCAATGATGAAAAAGCCGCAGCGGCGTCCGCACGCTTTCCCTTCATAACGGGGGACGCCGCTCCCCTCGCCGCAAAAATGTTAGTGCATACGCGCCTAAGGTGATGCAGTAGGTTTGATGTTGTTCTCGTTTTTGGGATGAAAAGTAATTTACTGCAGAAATTGCAAACAGCAGTTTATGCGTTGCATTCCACATCAACTGAACAGCATTTTGCCAGCACGACTCTAACACAACGCTGACATTGTACTGATTTTTGAATCGAGTGGTGTCAGATGTGCGCCCTTGCAGAATAAATTAAATGGTAGAAAAGTAATAAAAGGATAAGAATACTATAGGAATAACAGTTTTACCTGTGCTTTGCTTCTTCAAAAGTTGTTGAGGTTGATGCAATGCCAGCCGGCAGATTTGTATTGTTGAGCAAAACTGAACACAGCTTGGTCAGAATTGCGAAAGGCCTTTCAACTTGGCAAAAAACAAACATCGATCAAAAACCATTTGGCCGCAGTTGAGCAAAAGCGGAAATAACAGAAGGGAAATATTTGAGTTACCAGATCCACACTTTCAATGGAATCAAGTGGTTTCCCGACCATTCTAGAAGCTAAAAAACATATTAGGTTGTTACATAAGTCTTGTTACACTTAAATTCTAACGGCGATAAGTCATACACCTCATAGTCTTTGCAGGACTCCAAGGTACCATTCGATGGAGCAAAGCAAGCTTTACAAGACGGTCTGCAAAAGTTCGCACCAGCTCCGACCCACCATAAGTTTGCACCCAAAATCTGAGTCGTACTGAAATTCAAAAATTGCGAAAAATTCATATCTTTCTTCAAACAAATCCTACGGATCTCCAACTCGCTCACAAAAATTGCCCACTATATCAAACACTCATATGTACCGTTGCTGTATTTTTTCCTTATCTAGAAATCGAGAAAAAAATTTTTTTTAGTTTTTACAAAAACGAAGCTATGCTGTTTCTTTTCATGTAGCTGTATACAACAAGCCCTTAGAAGTATAACCGTAAATTTTCAGCTTTTCAGGAGCTCTGGTTTTTGAAAAGTACCAAATGTAGCTTTTATCACTCGGGTGTTCAATGCTAAATTAGGTAATTTTCGAAAATTAGGGCTTCTGGGAAGCTGAAAATTTACGGTCATACTTCTAAGGGCTTGTGGTATACAGCTACATGAATAGAAACAGCATAGCTTCATTTTTGTAAAAACTAAAAAAAATTCTTTTTCTCGATTTCTATATAATGAAAAAATACAGCAACGGCACATATGAGTGTTTGATATAGTGGGCAATTTTTGTGAGCGAGTTGGAGATCCGTAGGATTTGTTTGAACAAAGATATGAATTTTTCGCAATTTTTGAATTTCAGTACGACTCAGATTTTGGGTGCAAACTTATGGTGGGTCGGAGCTGGTGCGAACTTTTGCAGACCATCTTG